CAGAATCTATTGATCCAACATCACAAGAATCAATGATATATAAATCTCAACAACGAACAAATATTAATGATCATAAACAACAACGATATCAAACAATAAATACAGCATCTCTATATCACTATTAATGAGTGTACGAACTGATGTAAATACAACTGCTAATTATACAAATTCATTAGATTATGATGATTCAAATTTACAAATCCATCAACAACAATATACAACTTATAATACAAATAATACATCTGGTATATCATCAGCACCTACAACAAATAATGGAGCACGATAGAAAAAGAATTCTACCAATCATAAAATAACGAATCGTCAAAATTGAATGATTGTCTTTATGACTCCAGTTTATTAAATGTTTATTTTAAAAAAAAAGAATAACAGTTGTTTATTGTATTTCATGATTGCCTTTCAATAAATCATCTACTTTATGATCTTTTAATTGTGGTCTAGATTCATAAGTTGCTATAACGACTTGTGATTGCACTTCCTAAAACAAAATAAATCTACAAATTCTATAAAAATATATATATGACTTACACCGAGGAATTCACCACGAAGACCAATATAATAAACACGAGTTGTTTCTTCACCAAAATTCGAAGGAAAATATAACGAAAGATGTGTTACACGTGCAAAATGTGCTGGACTAAAATATATATTTAATAAAAATGATATTTCTATTGAAAAAATTTGAAGTTTTATTTTACTTGACTTGATAAGCTAAGGTACCCGATGGATCATATGTTAATGGAATTTCTTGATGAGCTTTTCCACGTGCATTATCAAATCGTATTTCAGGTAAATTACTCCATCTATTCATATATATATATATAAAAATCCTATTTCCAGTTTTATTTGAAATTAATTCTTCACATACAATTTAACTGTATTTGGATGTGATGGATCATTTTCACCAATAACACATATACCAGTTAGTTTTACAGCACCATTAAATGGTATACTAAAAAGTAATTCAGGATCATCATCACTTTCAACTACCTTTATAAAAACATAAATATATATACATGAAGATATTTCGAATAAGATAAATTACTTTTGTTCGATCAAGTCTTTCATCCCATGCTCGAAATACATCTTTTCCTGATCCATCATGTTTTTCATTATAGCATTGTAAATTATATTTATCAATTTTTGTATATAAATTCCATTGACCAACATTTGTTTCATCAACATGTTGGCATGTACGTGAACATGAATGTTGCATGATTTATCTAGAAAAAAAAATGTATTCTTCGATTTCGATTGTAATATCAAATCATTTTTTTTATTTCAACAACAGATAGAATTTTTTACAATAAACAAATGAATAAGATTATATTTATGTACGTCCTTTATGTTTTTTCTGATGAAGTAACGCACTACTTTCTTCTCTTCGTCGTTTAGTCATTGGATTTCTTGGATCATATACAGTTAATAAATCAGCATTTGTATAAATATCTTGAACATCATCTAAAAGATCTTTTGATACAAAACAATGATTTAAAAATTGATCTTTAGCAGTATCAGCTGTTTGCTCAATTTTTGTTTCATTAACTGGTTCGATGACTGGTTCATCTTTCGCTGCATGAATTTTTGCTCGAAATTTTGCTAATAAATCAAGTGTCTAGAAGAGTAAATAAAATAAAAAAATATTTTATTAAAAACAAGAACAAACTTGTGATTCTCTAGAATTTGAATGAGTCTTATGATTTTTTTTCGTATTTCGTCTTGTACCAGCCATTAATTCATCCATTAATACAGAAGTATCTGCAGTAACAGGTACCATATGAGGAGGAGGAGGTGTAGCTAAATTAAAATAAAACAAATGAACTATAACTATGAATTGTCAAAGTAATAATTACGTTCTTCTTCTTCTTCTTGAACAGTATTTTCTGTTGATGATGATGGTTTTTTCATTTGTTTTAATTCTTTTTTTAATCGTTCAATTTCAAGTTTAACATTTTCATTTCTACAATAAGATAATAAATTAAATATTTTTTATTTTGTTATAATTACGATTTTGATGAAGTTGTTTGTTGATTATCATTATCATCTTCATCATCATCTACATCAAGTCTAGGTGCTTTTTTCTTTTCATGTAATGCTAATTTTTTTGATTGAAATTTTTGTCGTACTCGATCCAATTCTTCTTTATCATAATCTGCATCACTTTTTCCTTCTGGTTTCGACATTTGTTTTTCAATAGGTAATTCTTCATCACTTTCTTCATCAACATCTAATCGAACTGTACTTTTACTTAATGTTGCATCATTAGTTAAATCATGTGCACTTTTTCCAGTTCCTTTTTGTTTAAATTTCTAGAAATATTTTCATTTAAAGTAAACGAAAGAAAAAAATTCATTTAAATACCATTGAAACTTTTGTTACTTCTTCTTCATCTTCTTCAGCTTCATTTCCAAATGATAGAAGACCATAATTTCTAAATATGAAGAAAAAAAGTAATCCTATTTTTCTTTTTTTTTTGATCAATAGATTTTACTTGATGGCTTTAGCAGATACAGTTGATTTTGATTTATTTCTCTCTTCATTATCTTCATCCATTCTTTGAGGTTTAGGTCGAGGTCGTGGTACCATATTATCAAATGGATTTGTTATAATCTATATATATTAAATAAAACTTTAAAAATAAATTTTCTTTTATAAATATTATCAGACCTCAGTTTTAAGTATTTTATGTTTATAAACAGGAGTTTCATCAATAACATCACCTTCACCTAACTTTAACATATTAAATAATGTATCTCCAACAACTTTGGCAAATAATGTATTCTTTTTATCAAGTTCAGGTGTACTACCCAATGTAAAAAAGAATTGACTAGCATTCGTATTTGGTCCTGTATTAACCATACCAAGAAGACCACGACGATTAAAACGTAATCGTGTATGAAATTCATCCTTAACGGAAAAACAAAATATAAAATGGAAATATATATATTGAGTGAATATTTACTGCAAAGAATGAACCCGTAGATGATTCATGTCTATCACCAGTTCCAGTTGGATCACCACCTTGTGCGATAAAATTTGGGACAATACGATGAAAAATAGTTCCATCGTAATAACCATCCATACATAATTGAAGAAAATTTCGACACGCTAATGGACATTCTTTAGAGAAAAGTTCCTAGAATATCAAATTACTATTTCATATATATATATATAATTATTAAATAATCATACAATTTCAATATCACCAACAGTTGTATCCAAAATAACTTTTCCACGAGTAGCTGGTTCTTGAATGTAAATATTACTCATCTAAAATTTAACAAAATAGTTTCACCTGAGATGCAATAAAAAATATAACTAAAAAGAAAAACAAATAACAATTTGCTAGGTTTATATAAATTTTATAATCTGTTTTAAATTCTATAAATATCCATTAGGATTATTTGACTGCCATCGCCATAAATCTTGACCTAAAATAACTATAATATTTCATTTCTAGATAGAAATAATAGTATACGTACACATTTGATCTAAAGTTCGTTCAGCTGACCAACCAAGTTCTTTTATTGCTAATGTTGGATCAGCATAGACGGATGCAAGATCACCGGAACGTCGAGGATGTTCTTTACAAACAATTGTTTTACCTGACGCTTTTTCTACTGCTTTAATCATATCTAATACACTATAACCTTTACCGGTACCAAGATTATATATCTAAATAAGAAAGAATAGATAACATATCAAGTGATTTATTAACTCTAACTTTTAAACCACAATTTTCTTCTAATTTCTTCATAGCTGCAGTATGTCCTGTAGCTGTATCAACAACATGTAAATAATCTCGAACACCTAAAAGTTTGTTTTTTCATTATTATAAAAAGAGAAAACAGGAATATCATTTTTACCTGTTCCATCGGGCGTGTCATAATCAGTTCCATAGATATTAACATGTGGTAATCGACCAACAATTACTTGAGCAATATAAGGCATAAGATTATTTGGTTTACCAATAGGACTTTCACCAATTAAACCTGATTCATGAGCACCAACTGGATTAAAATAACGTAAAATAATAATGTTCCAATCTGGATGAGCAACTGTTGTATCTTTAAGAATATGTTCACACATATATTTACTTTTTCCATAAGGATTAACAATAGCATCACCAATACATGGATGTTTTTCATCAAGTGGTAAATATTTTGGTGTACCATAGACAGTAGCTGATGATGAAAAAATAAAATTCTTTACATTAAATTCTTCCATACACTAGAATAATATATATATAGATAGATAGATAATGATTCATTTCAAATTATTACAGTAAGTAAATTAAGTAAAGAACCAATATTATTTCTATAGTATAGAATCGGTTTTTGAACTGATTCACCAACAGCTTTAAGTGCAGCACAATGAATAATAGCATAAATTGAATGTTTTCGAAAAATATCTCGTAAACTTTCAAGATCGAGGCAATCAATTTTATAACTAATTATATCACATCCAACAATTTGTTGAATACGTTTTATACATTCTAAAAAATAAACATTAAATCTTTCTATTAAAATAATTTCTAATCAAACCTATTGATGAATTACATTCATTATCTAAGATAATTGGTTCATAACCATCTTTAACAAGTTCAATAACACAATGACTACCAATATAACCAGCACCACCTGGAACTAAGACTTGTCGCTTGTTTGACTTATCTTAACATAAAAAATATTTTTGTTGTACTTGTCCAAAACAACTAATAGAAAGTTATTCTATCTTCATTTGTAGATAATTAAAATTTATCCAAAAGTCCACTATATTCTCTCATTATTTGATAAACTATTTGTATCAGTTATTGTTTTGCTTAGAAATAGATTATTTACCAGATGTTGCCATGATTTTAACTTGCTCACTCACTCTGATAATCTAAAAACCAATAATAAATATGACCATTTGATTCTTGTAATTAATTGCTTATTATTTCATATGTAAAGATATGTGAATGTTTATTAAATTGCTTTTTTTTAAAGTTTAAAGAAAGAAAGAAAGAAAAAAAAAGAGGAATGCAGTGAACTGTGTTTAGAAGCATAAATAAAAAGAAAATGCACAGACAAAAAAAAACGAAAAAGAATATTAAAGATAATGAAATTGTTAAAGATTTGCATCGTTTTACATGCACGTTACAAATTAACCTAGATAAATACGATAAATAATAATAATAACAACAACAACAACAAATGAGTATCACTGGGGTTTTCTATTTTTTTCCCATTCAACAAATAAAAAAAACAAATACATAACAACCGTTCTCACCTATTCATTTAAAAACCGAAGATCTTTTCTATATTTTTTTTTCAGAAAAAAAAGCCGTACATATGCAAATAATTTGGAATGTTTTTTTACGAAAGAAAATCAAAACCCACAAATGAAAGCGCAAAGAAAAAAAAAGAGAGAGAGAGAAAGTTTAAATATTGATCGTCGAAAAAGAAAACAATTACACAACGAATAGTAAAAACATTTTATTGAACATTAGCTGTTGGTGTTCCTGGTTCACGTCGTGGTTGATTGAGAACATTGAAATTAACATTAAATACAATTAGACAGCCTGTAGAAAGACCAGCCATAATGTATCTAAATGAAAGTTAGAAAAAAAAAGAATTTATTTTCTGTTATTGTTTTAATTTTTTCGTCGTTTTACTTTTGATCGTGAGTAATTGCTAACGAACGAATACTAGCATCGCATTGTGGATAAGCATAAACAGGTTGTAAATCATGTGTTCGAATGATTTGTACATAACCTCGATCACCACCAATAACTGTATATTGACTATCAGCATTTAATACCATGCTCTAAAGAAAATTAAAAAAATGAATTCATCTTTCGCAGAGAAATATATTTACTTGAATAGTTTCATCTTCAAATATTGCTTGTCTCATTAATTTTCCATTTAATGTATATAAACATAACTTTGATCGATCATAACAAACAATAATATCACCATCATTTGATGGCGATAAAAGACGTGGTGTAGACATTGTCGATGGATTCTCAAATGAACGTAATATATCACCATTCAATGTATGTTGAAGTACAAGACTATGTTTACTACCACTCAAGACAATTCCAAGTTCAGCGGATAACCACAAACATGTAACTTCTGTATCATGACCTGTTAAAATTGCTGCTGGTGATGGATTAATTTCTAGAAAAAAAATAAAATCAATTATTATTTTATAATAATATTTCGTTTGTTTTTCTTTTACCTTGATTTGGATATTCTCGATCAACAATTGCACCTTTAACTCCATTCCATATCCAAATACAAACAGCACAATCACGTGAACCAGTTGCAAGAAAACAATTTCCAGCCATAGTCATTTCCGAACGACATACACATGTAACAATATCGAAATGTCCATAGAGTACTTGTGTAGTCTTTGCCATATCAGTATTTTGAACACGAAAACTTTTATCCCAGTAACCAGTAGATATTATAAAACGATTATCGGCAGTAACAACAAAACTTTGATGACGTTGTTGTATACGTTCATCGAAATTATCACCCAAATGACGGCGGGTTAAATTCAGATTTGATACTAAAATTAGAATTAACATAAATCAATGTGATGGACGACATGAAAACAAAATCTGTTGAATTTGAGATTTATAAAGAACAGGGACTCTTCAGTAGAATCAGGATATATTCATCTTGAAAACAATTTTCTCGACTATGTTTGTTTTCCTTAAAATCAGAATTCTAATTCTTCTAATTAATTACGTCTACAAACTATAAATCAAATATTATACAAACTCTTTTTGTTAAAATCTCAATTTCTATTATTAAAATACATGTTAGATTACGATCAAAAATGCAATAAAATACCTAAAATCGTATCCATGTTTATTGGTAATTGTGTTTGTTGTCCAGCTGCTGTTTGTGATGAATCTGGATAAGTTTGTGTTGATATGCCAGCATTAGGATTATATTTATTAACGGAAAAATCATGTTTATTACTAATAGTAACAACAGCTTGTAAAGCAAGTGCAGGATTTGTATTAGCAGAAACATGAATAATGGGTGCATTTGAAGAAAATTTCATTATCATTGATACATCTTCCGGTGTACTATAATAAAAAAAAACAATTCATTAACAAAATTAGTTTATGATTGATACTTACACATTATACATCATTGGAGTCTAAAAAAATAAAAATTATAAATGAATAAAAGTTTTGTTTTTTCTTAAAAATTTTTCTTACTAATGTCATTGCAGAATTTCTTGGTGGATGTGGTTCAGTTAAAAGTTGTGCTGGTGCTTGACCAAAATTTCTTATTTGTGTTTCAATAGCAGCACGATCTGTTGGATTTGTTACTGAATCAAGATTAACAGCACCTTCATATGTTAAATAATAAAAAACATTCACAGCTCGAATTGCTTCTGGACCTAAAGACAACAACAGCAACATTTATTAAATCATATAAAAACATCTATATATTAAAATAAACCTCTTTGTTTATAACCAAAAATTAAATCAATCCAATGATGTAAATGACAAGAAACAAATTCTGATTCCAATGCCTAAAAAATAAATAAGTAAATAAGAATTCAAATTAAATAATTTTAATTAATTACAGCTCGATTAATTCGAATAAAATCTTCTGGTGTTTGTGCCCATTTAGGTAAAATAACATCATCAACTTTTAATCCATCTTCCGTTCGTCCTAATTTATAATGATTACAATTTGTAAACATTTCTGGTAATGAAAAAAATTCTGGAATTAATTCTTTCACATCTGATGAATCACGTTGGCAATTTTGCCATGAAACAGGAATTGAATGGAATGTACGATTAGCATGATCAAATTTTCCTTCTTGTAAATTTAAATAAAATGTTGTAAATGGTTCCTAAAGAAAACGAATTTTTTTTTTCGAATATATATGATAAAGAAAATTTAACTTACAAGTCGAATGAGCCAACTAAGTGTAAATGCAGCTGTTGAATAATGTGTACCATAATGAAATGGTGGAATGGTATCCGATTCCCAATTACTATAACGTTCAATAAAAAAAGCTTTTCGCGTAGGATTTAATGCTCCAACAGGCTACAGACAAAAACAGAAAGATTGTTTATTATTCGAAAATAAAATAAAATTTATTACTTTTGATAAATCTCGATATGCTGATGGAGAATTTAAATCAAGTTTTTCACTTTCATAATCAGCAATAACCCATGGAAATATTGGATATTGATTTAGATCTTGATATGTTCGACCTACAAAAACAAATTATTCATATTGTTATAATTATAATTTTATGTTATTAATAATTTACCTGAGATTGTATTGAGATACATAAGATATTCAAAATTTGAGATTTCTCGTCTTTGCCATCGTTGCGTCATATTTGCAGAACGAAATAATTGTTTAGGCGATGCTAATGATGTTCTTCTAATTAAAATATATTGATCATTTATAAAAAGCAAATAAAATCAATTATTTTACCGTTGTTGTGGTAAACCATAACGACCACCAACACCAACGCGTGGTAAATAATTTACAACTTTTTTTACAATTGAACGATCAGTAAATGCAAACATAGCACTTGCTAAAAAATAGATAAAGAAAATAAAGATTCAATACATCAATTAATTATTGAATTCATACTTCTATTCGAAACAAATATTTCTAATGCTTTATCTTGTAAAAGATATCGTCTTGCAAATACTGCTCGTATTTCATTAAAATGCCATTTTCCATGTAAATTTTCAATATAAGGAAACATCTAAATATAATATTCAAAAAATATTAATATTTGATTTTAGTTTCTATATTTACTTTTAAATCAAATTTTGTAAAACTTTCATCATATTCATCTGTATCAAATAGCATAGCATTATGTGTTATAGCTAAAGTACCACGTATAACAGCTGTACCACATATTAATGAGCAATCAGTTGAAAAACGTATTGGACCTGAAAAATCTTGATCAAGATCTTTTTCATCGACTTGTAACATATCTTCTTCATCAGTCAATGTTTGATTAAAATTTTGTGTTTTTTGTTGTTTTATTTGTTTCAATAAATTTTCTCCTTTAATAACTGATGTTACTAAATCATCATTTTGTTCATTTGATGATGATTTTTGTGTTGCTTCACTATGTGCTGAACCATTTGGATTACGTATTAAACGTCGTCGTCGTCTTAAATCATCTTCCCATGAATCTAATTTCCAAAATGGTCTTGAACTATTTAAATAAGCTGTTTTATCATTAACCATCATAGCTAAGAATTTTTCTTTTAAACGCGATGCAATAGCATGATGTCGTTGACGTGCTGCAGTTATAAAATGATCACATAATTGTTCTTCTTCTTTACGTTCAACAGTTGTTTGAGCTGATATTTGTTCAAATTCACTTGCTTTACGTATATCATCAGCACGCATACGATTAAGAATAAAATCAGCTTCATTAGCTACTTTAACAACATGATCTTTGCTTGCATGAGCTAATAAACGTCCTTCATTAACTAATTCAATAAAAGCTAAACCAGCATGTTTCTAATATAAAATCAAAGATATATTTCTGAAATAAAAAAAAAGTTTCTTTTTTTCTTACTTGAAGAGAATTTTGCCATTCTTGTGAACATAATAACATAACAAGTTCAACAACTGATGCTGTTTGTTTAAGAGCATGTAAACCACTTGGTAATAATTCTTGTCCATGTGAACCAACTAATGTTTTTGTAAGAATATGTGAAAATTCAGTGAATATATCACGTAAAAATGGAGCAATATTTGATAATGTACGTTCTAATTTTTCACTTATGTTCATTACAGATCGGTCAGCTGTATTGAAATTTGTTTTAGGATAATCAGGAAGTTTCGATTCAGGTAATTGACTTTTATCAATTGTTGACGGATTACCCGTTGGAATACTAGCAATACTTGCTAAAATATAACACAAATTAATGTAAAACTATTTTATCTTTCTACTATATACATACCATATTGTGTTGCGGTTGCACTTGTATTATTCAGATCGATTGATTTTTGATCAGCTGATTGTGAATCTGTATTATCAGTTTCATGATTTGTTTCATCAGTTGTAGTTACTTCATTAGGTTTCTTCAATGAAAGAAGAAAAAAACGTACATACATATGTATTTCAATAAAACATGATCAAATTTCTTACTTCATTATCATTAATCATACTTGCAATTGATGTTAAACCATTAACACTAGCTGTATCATTATTAGTTTCACTTGTTGAACCTATCGAATAAAATTTAGTAAAAATAATTAATTCTTTTCGTTTTTACCATTTCGATTATTAAGTGGTGTCTTTATCATTGATGTTTGTCTTGATAGATTTGTTTGATTTGATTCAATAATATCTCGATATCTTGAAACCATAAGTACAGATGCAAAATAAACAATTGCTAATGCTAAATATTGTGATTGTTTTGTATCATCCTAAGAAAACAAGAATATAAATTTATGAAAATTTAACTCAAAAACTACTAAAAGCAAAATAATAAATAAAACATAAAACAAATAAAGCAAAAGAAATAAACAATTTACCACAACAACCACAACATTTTTGCCCGTTTTACTTCGATCTTGTCTTACCACATCACGATAGATAATAGCACGTAAACGTTGAATATCAAGTTCTTGTAAAACTGATTCAGGATTTTTAATAAATGATGCAATTAGCTGTGCTATATCATCACTTTCATTATCACGTTCACTTGTATTCATTAAATAAGTTAATTCAAGAATTGTTTCAAGTGGATCTTTAATTGTTCCTTTGGCTGTTAATAATGTATTCGGTGTTTTTGTTGAATCAAAATTTTGAAAACGACATTCCATACAATGACGAACAGCAGCAGTCATTGTTAAACGAAGACATTGTCGTAATATACCACCATTTGGCATACTTTTCTCTTGTTCAAGTTCAGAAAAATTTCCGCTATTAGCAAGTATAAATAAATCAGATAAACCCATAACACGTTTTAAAATTTTCAAAGCATCATTTGATGATAAACCTTCCGTATTTTCTAATACTTCAATTTCATGCTAAAGAATAAAAACAAAAAGATTATTAAACAAATACGATTAAATAAATATACAGTTGCTGATGTTGCACTAGCAAGTAATGGTAAAAGACCACCACATGCATTACATAGTATATCAGCCATTTGAGAAATAATATGTACAACATTCACACAAAATATTTGATTGTCTGAATGATTAAGTGGATCAGTTATTGGTTTAGTTGTATCACTAGAAAAAAATAAGCAAGAAATGAAAGAACAATTTCTTTTCTTATTATTAGAAATGACTTACGATCTCCAGGAACGAACATCAGCTTCGATTGAATCGAAAACATTATTTAATAGACGAATATGCATTGCAGAATATTTAAATTCAGAGATTGTAAATGGTGGTAATTGATTACTTTTGAATACTTGACGATTCGATGATGATGATTCTAAAAAAAGAAATTGTATTTATAATTTGAACGATAAAATTTATAAGTTAACTTACTAGTTGGTGTTGCAACAGAGTTTTGATCAGTTGGAGTTTGAGAACCACTTTCTACTGGTGATGAAACTGGTGTTTTAGGCTAAATATTTCATTAATATTATTATCAATCGATTAATTAAAATAAAATCTTACTTCATTTTCATCATTATCTTTCATATTTTCAACCATTTTATTAATTTTTCTATAATAATCTTCTCTAGTGACCTATGGAAACAGAAAAAGTCAAATAAATTTTCTCTAAATAGAAATAAAAATTTACTCGTCCATGTAAAATTGAAAGTGTATCAATCCATACACGCCATCCACCATATTCATATTTAATAGCATGATGTAATAAAATTCTTAATAATTCAAATACTCGATCAGTTACTTCTGTTTGTAAATCACTTGTTGGATAAACATAAGCAAGTCCAAGTAAATAATCTTGCCAAACAGACATTTGTAAAATAATTCTTTTCAAAAAAAAACAAAAAAAAATGTAAATAGATTAAAAAAATTAAAACCCTCATACCTTCGATTTTCTCGACTTGCAGATGAAAGTAAAATTAAATCATCAAGAAAACGTAATTTTATATCATATAAATGAATATTATCAGTTATAGTTCGAAGTATGGTTGCGATTACTTTAATCATCGCTAAAAATGATTTAAATAAATATATACTCTCTCGTTTATTCCTAAACTAATTTACCTGAATTTTCAATTTTCCATTCGGCAGTAATTTCTGAACTTCGTTTTTCTACAGTTGCTGCGCTTACTCTCTCGACTAAGATCTATTCATAGAGATAAAAATAAACGAATATTATAATATATATATTTTTTGTTCTATCTTACTTCAAATAAAACATTATAAGATGCTACAGTGAAACTATTTGGATGAAGTAAAAGTCTATCAGCCAATAATGAAAATAGATTGTGTGGTTGCATTGAATCACTTTTTCGTCTTTAAATAATAAAGATTTATTTTATTATATATATATTAATTATATTACATACTTTAATGTACTTCGCTGAAGAAAAAATCCTAATAATTTCAAAGCTTGTAAACGTGTTGTTTCACTACTACTTGCTAATAATTTAAAAACAGTTCTAAAAAACAGGAAATTAAATTTTATCTTTGCTTTAGAACTAAAATTAATTTCTAATCAAACCTTATTCCTTGTCGATGATCGAATGCTGGTACCATAGTTTTTGGATGTTCAGACATAAGATTTACAGTCATATCCAAAACATCAATAAGATTTTCATCCTAATAAAAAGAAAATTATTTAAAAAAAAAAGTTTAGTTTTTCTTTTTTACTTCATAAACTGTATGAAGATAGTTAATAATTGCTTGTAATTCTTCTTCTTGTGTGCCTGCACTACTTATAACTAATTGTTTTAAATATAATAACATATAACGTCGCATTTCAATAATTTGTTCACGTGTTGGTCGATTTCCATCTAAATTATTTTTTTTCTATTGAAATAATTTCAAAATATTTTTGTTTTACTTACCGCAACCTTTAGGTTGATAACCACTACGATGACTTGGATCACTAATCCAATAGAAATATTTTATTGTATGTAATGTTTGAATAATTCCACTAATTGGTTGTATTAAATGATATATTTCTGCATACGATACAAATTCTGTTGCTAAATATGTATATAAACGCATTTGAACATCAACTGAACAATAAATCCATATAGCTGGATTGAAAAATATATGAACAAATAATTGTTTAAGTAATAATGGACTATTTTTGCTTTGAATTTTAACAAAAAATGTTGTTAAAGCTATGAGAGAATTGAGAACATCCATATTAATATGTTGTTTAGATGCCTAAAGAAAATACAATTTTTAATTTTCTCTACAAATTAATTATGTAAATTTGCCAACAATCATGAGACATGTTTTGTCAAGAAAAAAACTTAGTATTCAATATGTTTAAGTGAATTGCAGTCGATATAATTTACAAATGAATTAATACGTGCATTGAATAATATTAATCAATTTATGGTTTCATATTCGTATTAATTAATCTTTTTTTTTACTGATATTTAAACATATCCTTGAAGTTCTAACCTCGTATTTACATCTTCAAATATAATTATCAATCATTATTTATCTTTTTTTCTATTTGTCATTGAATCAATATTTAGAATTGAAACAACTAAAATAATCTCGCCTACAACATTCTTATACCTTTTCAAGATGATATCCAATTGCAAGAAAGCCTTTTGAATTCAACATTTGATGTTGAATTGTATATGAACGTTCAATTAATTCACATAAAGTTGTAAGAAGTACAGAACAAACATTATAATTAATTGAGCCATCTAATTGTTTATGATCAATTTGACCAAATAAAGGAAAGAATACTTGTATACCACCAACAGAATGTAATGTTGAATAAATTGAATGTGTTACAACAGAACGAACATTACTTAACATTTGTGCATGAGCGGTATGAACAAAATGTGACACATTTGTTTTAGGTCCAGCTTGTAGAACAAGTTGTTCTTCACATGCGATTGGATTATAATTAAATACAATTGAATTCATTAATTTTCCATCATACATAGCTTTTCTTTGAATATCAGATATGACATGTGCACTTTCATTTTCAAATTTAAATTGATTTTTATAAGCCGGACCTAATTTATATAAACCTTGAACAATTAATGGTTCTAAATATAAACTGAATAAATAAAATGTTGATAATTGACCAGAAAAACTTGTTAAATCATTACGATCAGGTGTACAACCTATATAACATTTATCAAATAAATCACCACTTTCAATACTCCATGGAAAATATGCATTGGAAACAAGTTGACCATTTATATAACAATGTATACTACTTTTAGCCCATCGTTGATATTGATGTGCAAATGTTATCATGTACCACTCTCGTGGTTTGAATTCATATTGTATACAATGTTGAAAAGCTTTTTCTTTTAATTTTGAACATGAAATTACAAGACAATTGCCAACAAAATGAGCTGTATAACCATGACCTTTTGATGTACAAAACCAATATAAATATGGTTTTTCTTTTTCAATAACACCATTAGCAACAGGATCAATACGAAACCATGTTGTTATTGTAAAACCATTTTGATATGGCCATGTTTTAATTGGTGGTAGAATAATACCTGAACCATTACGACCAGGAAAATTAAAAAATTCATCAGGTCCATGTCGATAGGGAAGATTTTTAAAGATATTTAATAGTTTTACGGCATGTTTTTTCTATAAAATAGCAAAGAAAAGATTATTTAATCTTATATAAAATAAAAACTCATACCCAAGTTCGATTATCTGTTTTAAGATAACGTAAAAGAAGTTTAAGTTCATTAACATTTATTGTTAATGATGTTAAAACTGTAAGAATATCAACTAATAAATCGGCAACAACATCATCATCAATATCATTTAAAAGTCGTAATACTTTTTCATATATTTGTGCATCAATTGATGCTAATAAATTTCGTTCACTTTTACGCATTATACCAATTAATACACTTAAAAGTTCAGCTTGTAATGATGATGACATTTTATTAAAAACAGAAAATAATTCAGATAGATTTTTTGGTTTTTGTATAATATAATTTTTATCTAAATCAAAATCACCTTCGACAAGCTAAAAGAAAATAAATTTGATTAGAAGAAATGAACATATAGATATTTACTGTATTTAATATAGCGGTATTAGCTTCTTTATTTGATTTATCAGCTATAGTTTTTAAAAGTTGATGAGTATCGTCTGATGGATGTACTGATTCAGATGGAACAGTATCATTAGATATATTATCCTCTTCAAGTACAGGTAATGATGTTAGAATCTCTTCAGATGCTGTATTTTCTTGAGACGGAGGTATTGATATTGGCTTTTCTTCAACAGTAGTTTCTGATGTTGAATTTTCCTCAACTTTAGTTTCTAATGCTGGATGTTCTTCAACGTTAGTTTCTGATATTGAATTTTCTTCCACTGGATTATTGTCCGATGGAAGTATTGATATGGGATTTTCTTCAGATACAATTTCTGATGTTTGATGTTTTTCTTCATCATCATCTTCTTCTTTTTCAAGAATAATGTCAGTAAATGGTGCTTCTGATGAATTGTTAAGATCGTTTAATTTTGAATGTGGTGATGCGATCTTTTGGTTATCATCTGTAGATAATTCTTTGACTGTATCTTCTATTTGTCCATTTTCTATTGGTGATGGTTGATCGATTTCTTGTGATTGCTCGTGGTTATTGTGGTTAATTTCCGTATCGGAATGAAGATTCTCATTATCTTTGATTTCGTTGCTCATTGCAAAATCTAAAACAAATAAATAAATAAATAAATAAATAAACATAAAAAAGACACAAGTATTTGTATGTTTTGAAGAGAAAATAATATCGATAAAGAAATCAATGCACAGATAAAGTATAATAGGCCTGTTTATTATTCTTTTTTTCTTAATTTCTATCGATTCATCTGTTTCTTTTTACATTCGTTTTCTCTTCTCTATCATTATAAGCGTACGCGTCCGTTGATTACTCATTACTTCCCAAGAGGGCCAGACACGTCGTAGAGTCATAGAATTCTTGATTGATTTATTTATTTCAATCTACCAATCAAATTTACTCATGATCCTCTCCTAAAGAAAGAACGAATGACAGCAAGTGACATCTAGACAATGAACAATTCATGATAGAATAACCATCTTTGTTTATTAAAGCAATCTTTAGCATGAAAACTATATGTATTATGTTAAGAAATCGAAGCATTTATGTTGTCAATGAACTATAGCAAAAAAAAAAGTTCGGATCAACTATTTCGATAACATTTCATATATCTTCCTCTGAATTCAAGTGATAGGAAGTCACAATTGACTTTTTCAAGTATTTTCATCATCATCATCTATCTGTACAATTTATTGAGAAAAAGAAAAGAAAAGTGAATCATTTGAAAAAATAACACATAGATATTCAACTAATTCGTTGCACCGACTGAATGTATCTGTTGAAAACTAGAACGAGTAGCTGTCGATGATCGAGCTTGTCGTCGATTATTGAGTCTTTAAAACAAAAAACAATTTCTCTATATAATAATAAACGAAAGAAAAAAAACTTTACTTGATACAAATTGTTTTTTCTGCAACATTAGTCCATCGTTGTCCATTATTATCTTCAAATGATACACGTACATGAATATTATAATTCGTAACAGTACCAAGTTGTAGAATAAAACCAGCATGAAATCTATTATCATTTAATTCTTCATTTAAAATGACATTTTCATAATGATCATTTTCTTGATCAGTTATTTTTGAAATTGATGAACCAGCTGAAAAAAGTGATGCTTTAGCACCTCGATAGGAATTATCATCGGTGAGCTAAAAAGATATATAATTACGAAAAAAAGGTTTTCAATAGAATAAATTACTTGATCAAGAACTGGAGTTTTTGTTTTATTCTTTTTATTCATTTCTTGATTAGTTAATACTTCAACAAATACTTGTTTGACTGTACGTAATGGTAATCGATGATATGTTGCATCAATTTCACCATGAATTTGAACAGGTAATAGAGCATCAGATTCATGTACAGGACGATCTTCACTTTCATTTGGAGAAACAACTAACTAATAAAAAAAAAGAAAATTAATATTTCGAAATATGTCTGGATTTCGTACTTTAACAACTGTTTGTTGTAATTTTTGAAAGAACATTCGTGGAATTGGTGGTGCAATTGTTATTAATGAACTAGCTAAATATTGAAGAGCAGCTAATTCCTAATAAATAAATATATTTATGATGTAATTATTAAATAGAGAAAGAAAATTTTACTTCATCAATATTCATATTCTTTTTTATTGATTTTTTATTATGTAATCGAGTGCATACAAGATCAATAATATGTTGAAAACGTATAAACATTTGCTCAGTAAATCCATCACGCCAAGACATTTCATTTAATCGATTTTGCCAAATTGTTTTATCAAGTCTATATTGAATTATTTATATAGTAAGATCTATATACATATTAAGAACAAATTAATCTTACGGAATATGTCGTATAATTCGTTCAATAGTAGCAGAAATTAGATCACAAAGAAAACGATTAAATGTTAGACACCATAATGTTTGTGTATCACCATCAAAACATGATTGTTGAATATCATTTATTTTTGAGCTAATCGTTGAAAAACGTTTAGCTATAATAATCAACTAAAATAAAATCTAATTTTATAACATATCAAAAGTAAATTAACATTTGATCTACGAATATATGATCATTTAATACTAACCATTCGTTTGCCAAGTAAATCATAACTAATCATTCCTAAATCATATTGATATATTGTATGAATAAGTTCATAAAATTGATGAATAATCGATGAACGTATATCACAATAAGCTCGTTCAAAATCAAATGTTGCATCATTCGAACGTTCATCATCATCAATAGTTAATCTTATAGGCATTTGTATTAAACTTGATTCATAAAATGAACCAGCTTCAGCTAAACTATCACAAAATATCTGTAAATCATTCTTGGAAGAATTTATAACTGTTTGTAATCGTTCTTCTCCTCGACATATATCAATTAATGTTTCAATCCATATTATATGTATTGAAATATGAACAGAATTAATTAATATTTCTAATAGATCAATTGCTAACTTATATAAACAATGTCTTATACACCATCGTGCAAGTAAAAAACAATTCCATGATGACAGTTGTTTGACATGTTCATGAATTTCATTAAAATCATTAGGATTGGAAAGAACAAATAAAGCAAGTAGATTATACTATTAATAACATATAATTATAAATTAATCTATAATTTCAAAGAAAAAAAAAGAATAATTTTTTCTTACACGAACATCATCATTCAATGATGTATTCATTAATAACTGACGTAATTGTATTATTTCATTAGCGATAATTTCTGTATGATTTATAGATAACCGAACAAGTGATTTAGTTAAATAGGATAATAATTCTGCATCTGAACAAAGAAAAAA